TTAGCTTAAAAGACCATGCCAAATTGGTGGCTTTCTGTGTCCAAGGATTCTGTGTCTCATGAAAAATGTCGGTTTTCTGACCGGAGGAGGCTTGCCTATGCATTATAAGCAGTACGTTAGTTTTTTTTTTTGCGGCTTAGACTATGAAATCTCTTGAAGTTTGCAGTGAATCCCAAGGATTTTGCCTTTCATAGAACTTAGCAGAAAGTGGAGAAGAAGTTAATGTGTCCCTCCAAATACTTGTCATTGGCTTTATAAACTAAGATTTTTCAAGCACCTATTGAAGTTCCGGAACTAGTACCAACTGAAATCCATTAAAGTACTTCAGCAATCCCAAGTCGTAAGACTCCTTGCGTCAAGTAACTAAATGTATGCTCAGCAAGATGTACAAAAAGACATTTTCTGGTCGTTTAAAGAGGTGGATGAAAGGATCCAATAGAACAGTTTCCACTTCTTTCACAGCCATAATCAGACGAAGCAAGGAAAATTGTAAAAGCGTTCCAGCAAGCAGTCACGCGAAATAAAAAATTCCGTGCTTGCAGCGTAGGCGCCAGACTGATCAGCTCGTTCTTCCAAAGCCAGACCACTGCTTTCGAAGGAAAAGACGAAGTCTTCCAATTAGACTGCACTAATCCTACCTAACATAAGTGGAAAAAATTCAGGCGTTTCATTCAGTGTCTCACTATTCAGTTTCTCCACATCGGCATAAATTTAAAAGTGTAATTGCCAAATGCAAAAGAACGACTTTAACAATACCCACCGTATTCTTTCAGTCCTTATGGCGTTGTAAATCAAACATGGTATTAATCACCCCAGTGCATCTTGATACAAATCGGATTCATTATACACAATTTGACAGAAAATATGTTCAACACGTTAAAGTCAGCGATGAAAGTAAAAAGTGGAAGTCATTTAAGTACTAAACAAGTAAAATTTCTTACAGGAAGATTGAGCCGTCATAAAACAACTGACTCCACTTCAATAAACGACTTATTTCTTTGTCCAGAACCCTCAACACTCTTAAATTCATGTTTTGCAAATTGAACTGTAAATTTTTAATTCCAAGGTAGTAACAACATGACAAAAAACACAAACACGTTGCTAAAAGTTATCTTATAAACAGATGACTGTGTAAACAAACTAATAAAAGTTGCATACTACGGAAGAGTTTTTAGTAAAGTAAAACAGAAAACTAAGGTGCCCGCAATTGTGAGCAACTCAGTTTGCAATAAGAGAGCGAACTTCCAGTCTCCTTAATTGAGTTAACTATCACTTGGACATCAAAAAACTTTTGGTAAATTCTAAATAACGGTATTTTAGAGCCTCCTCATCCATATACTTTCATCTATAGTAAAAACAAAAATAACTTTCATACAGGAAATTCTCTATAGGTGACACTAAAATTAAGTCTGGTATTTGCTATTAATTACTAGCCTAACTCATAAAACTCGATTTATTACTGCCCAGAAGCAGCCTTCAACAAAGCTTCGCAAACTTCAATCATGATATTTGCCTCCGCTTTACCGACGTCACTACTGTCTTCTTGGAGTAATCGAACCGCAGCGTCCATTTCTTGCTTCACCATCTAAAACAATTATTTTGAAGATTATCAGAGAACTTATCAAGATATGCCAACAAAAGTACATTTAAAAGGAAAACTGCATCAAGGGATCTTACCACTACATCGATCTCATCAATATCAATAGCTACTTCTGCCAACAACTGACAGCTGCCGTCAGGATTCATAGCTACAGTCCCAGAAGAAACAAATTTTTTCATTACTGTCCCTAAAACAGGTCTTCACAAAATTCCATACTTAGATTCTCAAAAATGAAAGTACGGAATAAAAGATGAAAAGAAAAGAGTAAAAAAGTCTAATCCCAGCCGCGGTTGCAGCATATCAAGTGGTAACGATATATTTAACATTACCACACACAAGGGCGCAACTTTTTATTACATTTCCACTGCAGTTAAAGAAATGAAACGGGGAAAATTAACATAATAAAGAAAGAAGCAATCATTACATGCGATGGACTCCAGTGTAAAAAATTATTTAGATGATATGCCCTCTGAAACATTAAGAGGCAAATGGTTGGTGGCGTAAGTTCGAGAACTATACGGTAAATGAAAAGCCAATTCAAAAATAAAAAAACAGAGACTCAGTACCTTCATTGTTTGTTACTGCAACGACTCCTGGTTTCAAAACTCCCAAGACTGGGACATGCTTCGCTAAAAGTCCAATCATGCCGGCCATTGTCGGTACATCAACTTGTTTCACAACCTCATCAGTAAAAAAAGCCTAAAAGGAAATGACTGATCAAAACAGAAGATGCAATTGTAAGATTCTGAAATTTCAAAAAATGATTGTGTTTCGAAATTATAACAAAATTTATTCAGTGAAAACAGACAGCAAAGAAAAAACCTTTTCTGGAGAGGCAAAAGTCAGCCGCAATTGATCGTTATGATAAGCAGGTTGTTGTTCTTGTGCTGCCGTTGCTGCGCTTCTGAAGGCAAGAAGACGGGGTAAACGACAGCCAACACGTACTAGTCTAGATGCCATTAAAACCCTAAAAATTCATCTTCAGCTATCACTCGAATAAACAACGATAACAATGTTCTAAACGATATCTGTATGACAGCATTTTATTTTTAAACACCCATAACAAAAAATAATTTTACAATGCCAGGATTTGTTCCTAATTCTGTTTCCTATGCTCTAATTTTTTACAATTTTTTCTCCAATCTTAATTTTTTACCGTCGCAGATTAAAAGATGTTCACTTTTGAAAAATCATTCTTCTGTGTACAAGCGCTTCACGATTATGTCTTCTGTAAAGCCAGACCGGTCCCCCTAACGTTACAGTTTATGAGTATTAATATCTAACGTAACTATTTTCTTCACTAACTCAAAAATTTTTCTTATCAGACAACTAAACAAAATGCGAACTTCTGCACTTTGTATGCCAAATACATATTTGAATATTACTAACAGAATTACATTTTAAAAATCAATGCGCTTTCTTTCCGTCTAGTATAAAACCCTCCGCTGTCTGGAAAAGAGCATAGTAAAAAGACCGTCTACAATCTGATCCCCCAAAAATTATCAAGAATCGCATTTCAAAGACAGCGCAGTCCGCAACAGTAGGATAGCAGACGTTTAAGCTTATATCTGCTTTCAGTTTTTAGTACAGATACAGCTTTAATAAAAAAATATGAAGCTATATCCCCTCGTTCAACCAAATCTTACCAAACAAGAACCAAAGCAAGATAAAAATAAATACAACCCTTTCGGTGTATTCGAAACTACCTTTGCAAAAAACCGATGACACCATATATGGCTTCCCTGTAAAAAATAAGGCTCACTTTCCCCGAAGAACTTTCCACTCACAACTGCCGTATTATTTCCGATACATTTTCCTCAACTTCTCAACAAAAGCCTACAGTTCTCAAGCTTTTTCTCTGTCCCTCCTCCCTCACACACTCTGAAAACTTGTCATTTTAGCAAAGTAAGCTGCTATGCATGACTCTTTGGAAGTTAAAATCAACAGTTCATATTCTTTTCAAAGGCCATCATTTACATTATCTAAGCTGAAGACCATTTTCTCAAATTCATCTTTTTAAGCTCTTCATCTCGACATTTTGTTGAAAAAACTGTGCTTTAACAATTCGTTCCTTTTATTTAGACCCACAAAATCCTAACCACGAATTTTTCTGCTATATAACTTCTCCGTTTATCGAAACGTTTTACCAGAATCTTTTATAATTGAAATTTCATTTGACGATAAAGCAGCAATAACAAAAAGGTTTCCCTCTTCACTCCATAAAAAGCAGAGAACAAGTAACGCTTGATACGATAAATTACTGCTTCTACATCAAAAGAAAAGTTTAGAACCTTATTTGAATCTACAAGCAAATTAAGGACTAATCAACTAATAAAACTCTACGACAGAACTCCAAAAATTTGTATTTTTCCAATTAAAATCCGTTATAGTAATTCTTGACCTCATCTACCTTCTGCAACACCTTCGGTGATTTCATGACACTCAGAACAAAGCTAGGTAAATTTTCTCTTGCCGCTTTTCCTTTTCTAGGAGCAGCATCTTCAATAAAGTTTGTAATTAGCAACGGTAATCCTCTTCTTCTTTCCAAAACTGTCGCGACACCGTTTATTATGGAACAAGTACATTCCCTAGTTCAGAGACGCAATACGAATACTTTAACTTTCCAGATATAAGCACCAAAGAGAAGTGTTCTCGCATGCATTGTTCCACAGATTATTAGGATACAAGACTTTAATACTAGTAATTTGAGTAGAGCAGCATAAGAAGCTTTCTTTACACCGTCAACAGAATAGGCAGCCAAATGAACTGATTTCAACAATCTGTTATATTCAAATTTGGTTTCATTTTTTCTACTCGAAGATACGGTTCATACGAAAGAAGAAACTTGAAACCTATTCTGAGAACAAAAGATGACTGAGAATGGCTAAAAAGCTGAAAAAAATAACAAAGTCTATGATTTCACCAAAAAATTAAAAGACTTTGGTGAAAAAGTAAAGTTTGTCAGTCGATAATAAGATCATTCTAATTGCAAGAATACTGAACAGTTACCAAAGCACACAATATCAGGAGAAAAATAATGTACTAAAGAAAATGGTCGTATTTCGCATTGGTGCTAGAAGGCAGGCTAAAACACTGGCCAAGAAAAAAAAAAAGATAACTATAAAAACAAGCTGTTAAAGATTTAACTTGACAACAGTGAAGCTTAGAATTAGACTAGTGACTATTTGACAGTGGTAATCGGAAAAAATGTTGTTCGAATTATCCTCTATAGGCAACCAGTTATAAAAGATGTGATCAAAGTAATAGTGGGTAAAATTTTTTGCTGCAACAACTTGACAAATAAACATTTGTTTAGCAAAATTTATTCTTTCGGAAACTATGATACATAAAACACATAAAGATAATAAATTTATCAAGAATGGAACATCAATTTAGAAAAAAAATGAAACCAATAAAGGCGATATGTTCAGGCAGCAAAAAAAAAAAAAAAAAAAAAAAAAAA